TGACTTTTTATATTCTGTCCATCTTCTCCTCATGGTTTCAGAATCATTTAATATATTGCCCATGTTTTTGTAAAGTGCTCTAGAGTTGGTTCCCACCCATAATGATCCTATATAGGGTTTCCAAGGAGCAGTTGGTAAGCTTGAACTGCCTATTTTGCAGTTCAAACTGACTCTGCAGTCCAGCGCATTAACCCACAGTGCCACACCAGGATTCTATATTGTCCATGCAATCCTTCAATATTACAAGCAGCGGTGTGATTTGTTTTTCCCTTCAGTTCTAACAATGTGAGAAATGTTGATTGAGCATGTTCTTCCCTTTTAGTTTTCTAACTCCAAGTCTTTGCACATTTAGTTATAATACTTTGCATTCTCAAGCTGTCCTTTAAATTTTCTTTTCAGTTTTTTTTTTTTTTTACTTCTTCATTCCTTTCTTTTGCTTTAGAATATCTACGCTCAAAAGAATGTGTCAAAGTTTATTCTGGCATCCATTTTGTTATTTTCTTTGCTGGATTTTAAATGACCTTGTTCCAAGTGCTCTTCTTACTATATGATGTTCTTGATGTCATCCCTCAACTCTTCTTGTCATCCACAATTAGTTTCTGAGGCCTCAAATCTATTAGGATGGTTACTAAATTGAGGTAGAATATATTTAAAGTCATATTTTTGCTTTCATGGGCTTATTTAAATTATCTTCAGCTTCAGTATGAACTTTCATATGAGCAATTGATAGTCTGTTCCACAGTTTGCCCCTGGCCCTATTTTGACTGATGATATTGAACTTTTCTACTCTCACATCTCACAGATATAGTCAGTTTGATTCCTGTGTATTCCATTTGGTGACGTCCCTTTTATGCTGTTTAAAAAACACACACACAAGATATTTGCAATGACTAAGTCATTGGTTTGGCAAAAACTTACCATGCAATCTAAAGCAACATTTTTATCACCAAGGCCATATTTTCTAAGTAGTGATCCTTCCTCTTTGTTTCCAACTTTTGCATTCTAATCACTAATAATCATAAGTGCATCTTAACTGCATGTTTGATGAATTTCTGATTGAAGAAGTTGGTGGAATTCTTCATGCCAACATTACTGGTTTCAAAGTTTGAATAATAGTGGTTTTAACTTTTTTCTTGTAGGTATATAGATAGTATTCTATCACAGACCTCATTGTACTTCAAGATTAATCTTGAAATGTTCTTTTTGACAATGAATGTGATGCTAATCCTCTTCAATTTGTTGTTCTGCCATAGTAAAACATATGATTGTCACATTCAAAATGGTCAATACCAGTTCATTTCAGCTCACTGATGCCCACAAGTGTGACACTTTAGGATACATACTGGACTG